TGTGGTAGGGCTTGTGTGTTTAGGTGTCTGTGTTTTATTTTCTTTTGTTTTGTCATCTTGGTGGTGTTGTTTAGGTTCTTGTGTTTTTGGTTTGGATCAGTTGATCTCTGTAAGCATGAGCGGGAGCAACCTTGATTCTCTTGTGGGAAGCAGCTCCCGTCTCGATTCTCCTGTGGGGAGCTTTGTAGTTTTTATTTGTGTTTTGTTGTAGTAGTTGTCTTGTGAGTCTAGTTTTAGTTTCTAGCGTTGCTAGAGTCGGGTTTCTAGGCGGTCGTCTGACCTGTCCTCCCAGTTTTCAGTTTTAGGTTGTTTTTTATTCTCCCGTTGGGAGCTTTGTAATTTTATTCGCACTTTGTGCGCTTGGTTTATAATAGTTCCTCTATCGTTCCGGTAAAAAAAAAAAGGTTAAAAAAATTATTATATTATAACACGGGTAAGTCGCACAAATAAAAAGTGTCATACTAAATTAATATATAACAATATATATTTTTACAAAAGGTATTTAAATTTTCAACTACTTTTTCTCATTAATTTTAGATTTTAAGAAAAAAAATTAGCAAGCACTCGTGTAATACACGGGCGTTGTACTAGTAAAATATAATAAACAATTAACCTTCACTTATATTTCATGCTAGTAATAGTTAATCTACAATTGGATTTTTCCTTGTTTAAAAAACATATATTTATATTTAAAATAAAATGAAAGGTTAAAGAAATATTTTTTTTAATATATGAACTTTACATAAGTTTGTCTATATTTAGTGTAATTATATCTTATAACTAACATGGTATGGAAGGTTAAAGAAATATCACTTTAATAAAAAAACTATATTATATTTTGTTTGGATTATAAATTTTCAATCTTAGTTGCATAAATTTAGTTTTAACTAAAATTTAGAATTACTTCTAAAGTTGATTTAAAAATAAAATCTTTAGTATGATGAAGTATTGATGAATGTTAGATTTTTAAAAAAAAAACGTATAAAAAATAAAATATAACTAGGTGGTCATTTAATAAAATATAATTCAGAACGTGCAGGCTCGAATGATTCGGGATCATATGTGGTAAAATACATGCTTCGTTATTAGGCTTGGTCAGATTTTAATTTACTTCCAATCCAAAAAAAATTAGATCCGGATTATCTATAAATATATATGTTAATTATTTATGGTCATGTTACATGTATTAATCGTATTTTAATATTATTTCTTATTATAACTATTGAATTGTAAATGTATTCTAAAAGTTAATAACTTTTGTATTGTTTATCAGTTATACATATATAATATATCAAGTTAATCATCTTTTGATGAACTTCGATTTAACAACTATATTGTATGTATAACAGTAATAATTTTTTAACATTAATTAGAAAAATAAAATTATTTATCAATTAATGTATTTATATTACAAGTTCTTATATGGTATATATTATAAAAATTGCTATAATATAACACATAAAAGTTGCACAAGTAACAAGTGATATTTTAAAAAATATTAATATAATTTTTTTGTAAGAAACTAAATAAAATTTAAAATAATTTTTCTCATTAATTTTAAAATTTTAGAATATTTTTTAACAAACACCCGTGTAATACACGGGTGTTGTACTAGTGGGGAGTGATTTGGAAAGAGAAATTAGATTTAGAGAATGCAGAGGAAATTTGAATGTGGCGGGGACCAGTGTTTTAAAACGCGTACGACGTAATGTGTTGCGCTTTGGTCTTTATACTACGTAGCGTAAATAGCGTTGTGTATTGCGTAAGCTATTTGAGTATAAAAAATTATTTTTATAGAATATTATAAATATATTTACATATAAGAAAATTGGACGGTTGATTCTAAAATTATCATAATATTTGAATGAATTCAAATTGACATCTAAGAATTATTTCTCACAAATGTTTAATGTAAATATCATAATATATATATTTAAATAATAAATCAAATACTAAAAAGTAAAAACAGACAACGAAAATATATTGAGGTAAGTGATAGTTTAGTTTTAATTATATGTATTTTAATTATTATTTTATTTAACTACAACTTAATTGTAACCACTGTATATGAACTTTTTATTCTTTATTTAAATGTTAGATAATGAAATTGAAATTGTATAATTGAAAATAACCAATAAATATGGAACTATTCAACTTAAGATTTTGCATTTTCAAGCTTTTAATTTAAATTCGTTATCAAAAATTTTGTTTTTAGTTGTCATGATTTGTGCCTTTTGATTTATAATATCTCCTATCGTTTCGGGAAATTATACTCTAATCCCAAAAAATACAAATTTTGAAATATTTTATTATTTAAATATCGTTACAAAAATATAGCGCAATGCACACACAATAGCGTGAAATAACGCAAAATGGCGTAAAAAAACGTGTAATTCAGCATTTCGCATAAGCTTTTTGGGAAAAACGCTAAACATGTAAAGCTACGTCGCGTTTTTTGGAAAAAAAAAGCTACAAAACAATAGTGGGTACTGACAAGGAACTTCAATTGTGCATTAGAGATTTTTTTAAAAATTTACCGACATTTATTTATAAATACAAAAAAAATAATAAATAGAAAAGTTTCAATTAATAAAAGAATCTATATATATATATATTAAAGCAAAGCAGCTGGTTCAAGAGT